ATCGTTAAAATGTTTCTGTTATTATTAAGAGCAAAAACCATCGTATTTTTTTATTATTTTATTAAATTTTTTCATTCTTTCTAGCACGTTCGAAATTTTGGTTAAAAATCGTGTTTTTTGTTTTTTTTACGTCAGTGATCTACGTGATATTTACCTTAAGTGTTTTAGCGTCTTTTTTTCAGGTGAAAAACACATTGATTCAGAAATTAAAAATCAAATAATTGCCGGATTTTAATAAAACTTTGAGAACTTATTCACAAATGAATTAAATTATTTTATACATGTTTTTTAGAAACTCGTGGTAAAATATTTTTGTTACATCTGTTACCCTCCTTACTTAATTTTATGAAAACTCGAGAAATTCGACTGCGTGCATTTTAGTGAGTATATTAGTTAAAAGCAGAAGACTTTGAAGAATATAAATCATCGATTTTTTTGTAAAATCGAATAGCACAGTTACCAAAAATTCAACTCTGAATTGTAACATACAAAACCCAATAAAACTAAAGCATTATTTAATTAGAAAAGCTTCTAATGTCTTTTATGAATAATATATATTAAGAGCAGTATTGTCTGAAGCCAAAATATTTTTCCGATGAAAAATGAATTTTTACCAGAATTGCTTTCTTTCTTTTTTTCTCCAAATTTAATTACAAAATGTGATAAAGTTGTTGAATATTTTACAATTAAGTTTCAATCCATGCCATTTAGGGAATGTTGTTATTAAGTAGATCTATCTTTACAGATCATAAATTTGAAAGCTTCTTACAATCTGCGATGTACATGTACTTTTTTTTTTTAAATTTACACTCTTTTTGAATATGCATAAAAAACTTTTTTCCAAATATATGGATGATCGTAAGTGACCTTAATGTCACGTGTTTTAAGAATTGTTTCTCCCGACGACAATAAACTGACCTCAGAAAATGTTAGTTTTCGTACTGCGAACATGTGTTGAATTCTCTGACTGACTTTGACCATCATCGTCGCATTTTCAAAAGTTTTCTTGTTGTACGTCCTATTTCAATATTTTAATTTAATTTTTCAAATATAATTAATTTATTGTTTTTCAGTGAGAGACATACTGAAATTATTAATTTTTTTTTTTACTTTCAATTCTAAGGACGGAAACAAGACAATATTAAAAATAAGGACAATTAAAAATTAACACATTAAAAAAAGTAACATTTCATAAAAATGAGAAAGGTACCTATAATTATTAAGTACTTATCTTATTTATGAAATTTTATGGTATTATTTTTAATTATTAATTTTTATAGTATCTAAGTTGTGAATTTTTTCATAAATGAAATATAAAAATTAAAAATAAATAAAATAATACCATAAACTTTCATAAGAGATATATGTAAAATTAGGTACCTCACTTATGAAATTTTATCTCACTCTCAGTTATAGAATTTTAAATTTATTTTATTGTTAGTATTTTAATTTTTATTTTTCTATAAATCATTTTTAGACGTAATGCTATAAAGCTAAAGTACCTAAAAAAGAAAAGAAACTAGAATCAATAAAATATTAGATTGCTGAAAGTATTTGTCAAATTTTTTTTACTGTGTAATTAAATTAGTTCATTTCTGTTCTTCCGTCTGTTAACTTCCCCTGACCTAAGTTGCCAATATATCGATTTAACTGTCAGTTAACACCTCCAAAACAAGTCACCGCGGTTAAAACATGCTTTTTAATGGTATTTCGCTGATGCAAAACAGAACAAGATTTTTAATCAAAATTTCGAATGTTTTCAAAAAGATTAAAAAATTTAATAAAATAATCAAAAAATACTTTGGCCTTCCCTCTTAATAACAACATAAACACTTAGACGATTTTTTTTTTCAAATTTGGGGGCCTTTTTTCATCATGGTATGCTCTTTTTCGACGAATTAGTGGAGATACCTACGTAAAATATAGGGAATTTTTTTTATTTTTTTTTTAATAATTTCTGTGTCTCAGCATTCTTTAGGACCTTCCTTAAACAGTGACACTTGTCAGAATCGAAAAATATTGATTTCTTTTATTTTAGAAGGTGGTGGGGCATCCATAATATCGATATAGTGTCGATCCCTGACTTTTATTGAACTTAACGGTTATTTATAAATGTCAAGTTTTAAAATGTAGTAAAATCAGTGATTGTTTTTATCAATTCACCCCAAGCAAGACGATAATGGCACTAAGATACAAGACGCTACTGGGAGTGAAAGAGGATGAAAAAACAAACTTTTGAATGAACCGGAAACCCAATTCTAAACAGGGATCAAGGTATAAACCTCTACTCCTGTTCAAAAAAAAAACCTGAGTTTGAACCGGACGATAGGTGAACTTATTTATTCCTATTGCTTTTAATTGTCTGAATTTTTAAAATATTTCTTGTGTGGGATTTTTTCAAAAGCACATTTACAAACAATTGAGGTTAATAATTATTTATTTTAAATAAACAGATACATACTTTTATTAAGTTATGTAATTTTTTGTTCAAAAAATGTTTTCGTAGACAAAACATAGATTCAATAACAATTTAAAAGACAGGGATCGATTTGACACTGTAACGACATCATAAATATGACCCCCACTTCTAAATCGATAAAAATCATTTTTTTTTTATTCTGACAAGTGTCGCTGCCTAGTGATGGTTTAAACAATACTAATTTACAAAAATTATTTCCCCCCAAAAGTTTCCCTATTTTTTACGATTGGACCACAGAAGTGAATGTAATGGATAGAGTATCCATTACATTCACTTATGTGCTAATACCCTTGGGAAAGGTATGATTCCTCTTCTTCTCTCCCCATTCCACCCTAGCTATGGGTAAATAGCAGGACAAGGCAACTGGTCTACCTTGGATGGCAACTGGTCTACCGCTGAAAGAAATGGCAACCTAATCTGCCTCATCAGTCATGTATCGAAAGATACATGATCGCCTAAACGTGTATCGCGCATGGCACATAATTGAGTGAATTTTCAAGTTAGAAATCCGAATATGGGTTTTTAAAAATTCTTAGCATTTCCTTAATGTCTAATTTTATTTTTTTGTTTGATTTTTTTTTCTTTGTGTTAATGTTACAGTCGTCTTCTTAGAGAAAGAAAGAGATAGAGTAGGGTTTATTCTAGACAAAAAGTAAATTTGGATAAAGCAACTAGCGTTTACTTCAGTGACAATGGGATAATATTCAAATGTTGGCTCATCTCCTTCATGAGAAACAAAGATTGCATACTAAAAAGAAAAACAACTTTACTGACTGTGAAAAGCGTGCAATAAGAATCTGAGAGGTTAAAAAGGGTGTGGCTAAACGAAAGCTTAGGGTTAAGAATATTGTCGGCATAGTTGCTGTAGAGAACTATAAAATGATAAAAAAAAAAAGGCTTAAGTACTGATGGGTTTCGTTTTCTTTCTTCTCAACCCCCAACTTTTCTATTTCCTACTCCCATCGTCTCGTGTTAACGTGCCTAACAAAACTTACAATACATTCCATACTTTTTAGTACTATAGGCGAATAATACCTATGCGGGGAAGTTTTAAAAAATATTAAACCCAAGTCCTAGGGGGGCTTCCCCCAGACAGTACCTTTCCTCCCAGAAGGGAGTGGACTTATTGCCCAGGGAATAAAAAAAGGGAAAATGGCGAGGGAGCTTGGGCATTTATCCATGGTATTGCCGTTAAACCCACTTTTTAAACTGACCTTGTGTCACATTCAGTAGCGATGTGGACGAACTGATAAATAGTTTTTACTTATAGGAGCTGTCTCTTGCATTAGTAACATTGGGGATTTTGCAAAAGTTATTAAGTAAAATCACTTTTTAAAAATAGTGTCCTTTTTTTTATGAAAATGTTTCAAATCTCTGTAAATTACTGTGAGACTCACATTTTGGTCGAGAATTTGGGGTATTTTCTGATCCGGAGAAAAACAGTTTAAAACACAAAATAAACAAATGATCTATAAGAGAAATTGTGATATTTACTTTAAGTATGGTGCTACTAAATATGGAGGTGACTAAATCAGGGATTAAATTTTAAAGATTTTTTTTTATCTAATCCTTACATAAAATAAATATTTTTATTTGATATCAACTTAATGCAAACATTTTTTTTTTATTTTCATTTTAAATACTTTTCTTCTCTCTTTATTTTTGCTTTTCGATTGTATTTATTTAATGTCTTGAGACATACTCTCCACAACCAAAATGGAGGCGTTTTTTTTCCCGAAAAGAAAGCAAAAAAATCGTTACCCCGTTTTAAAAAATTGACAAAATTCAAGGAATTATCCAATTTAAACAAAATGTTCAGTACTTATTAATTAACGAATGAATAATATACTGAATAGATTATTTTATTAGAAAACATTGTGGAAATATTTTTGGATCTGTTTCATACCACTCTTTTCGATATCTTGTAGGTACATTTGATTTGGGGTAGTGTTCGCGAAATCTTTTTACAGTTATTCTTATTTTTAAGCAAGTTTTTCCCAAGCAAGGCAGTAAAGCCACTGAGGCACAAGAGGTTACTGGGTGTGAAAGAATTAGAAAACAGAAACATTTCTCAGAAACGGGAATAAAGGAAGTGTAATCTTCAAAAGAACAACAGATAATGATTGACATTGCGTTCAATTTTTTTACCATTAAAGTTATCTGGAAAACATGTAGCCGGAAGACAATTCCACAAGCGAGAAGTGCGAGAAAAGAAACTGTTAGCATAAAACTTACGGTTACATCTAGCCAACTCAATTGTAAATTAATGAAACCGCGTCGCCAGTCTAGTGCTGCGTTACTAGTACATAAATTCATAAAGTTTAGGTATCATAGTATTTATAGAAAAGGTACAGATATATATATATATATATATATATATATATATATATATATATATATATATATATATATATATACACGTGTATGCGGTGTATTAAGTTTTTTTTTTTTAGTGTTCATATAATCCGCGTTGTTCATATTTAAGGATGGATCAGGCACGCCATTAATCGAGTCGCAGCGATTATAGATAGATAGATAGATAGATAGATAGATAGATAGATAGATAGATAGATAGATAGATATGGAAAGACATAGTTTTGGACAGACTGGTATTAAAAAGAATGATATGAGCTGACTGATATATATATATATATATATATATATATATATATATATATATATATATATATATATATACGTACGTACATACATACATATATATACATACGTACATACATACATATATATATACATACGTACGTACATACATATATATATACATATACGTACGTACATACATACATATATATATATATATATATACATATGTACATATATATATATATATATATATATATATATATACATACATACATATATATATACATACATACATACATACATATATATATATACATACATACATACATATATATATATACATACATACATACATACATATATATATATATACATACATACATACATATATATATACATACATACATACATATATATATATATATATACATATACATACGTACATATACATTCGTATATACATTCGTACATACATACGTACATATACATTCGTATATACATACGTACATATACATACGTACATACATATATATACATTCGTATATACATACGTACATACATACATATACATTCGTACATACATACATATACATACGTACATACATATATATACATACGTACATACATACATATACATACGTACATACATACATATACATACGTACATACATATATATATATATATATATATATATATATATATATATATATATATATTTATATATTTAAGCAAAACATCAAAGCCACTAAGACACAGGGGATTACTGGGTGTGGAAGAATTAGAAAACGGAAATATCACTAAGGAACGGGAACAAAGGAAGAATAGTCGAAAGAACAACAGATAATGATTGGCATCGCATTTAAATTTTTGACGATTAGATTTGGCTGGAAAACATGTCGCTAACTGAAATTGTAAATTGATGAGATCTCGACGCCAGTCTAATACTGAGCTTAAATTCATAAAGTCTCGGTATTTCTGCGAAGAGCGATATTTATTTGTAATTTAATACAAAATATGGCACAAAACCATTCTTATTACATCCACCATAATACCTTAATGTCTCTTATGAATATCCTAACTAGTCCCTATATGTACAATTCTTGTCTGGGTGGGGGAAATAAAACAACAATTTAAAAACCCCAATGTGTATTTACAATATGAAAAATCCATTTAAAAGAAATCAAACAAAATAATATTAGTAATAAAACCCTCCATAATGTTTATATATGGCAGAAACATCAGTTAACTGGGCGAAATCAATGCGGGACTTTAATAGCATAAAAACAGTCATCCATCCAAACCTCTCACTCAAACACACACTCATTCAAACACAACAACAAATATAAAAAGACACACCCGAAACGAACCACTGTGTACGATTGCGAAGAGTTCATCTGAACAATTACCATGAAAGTATTTATAAAAGGCAAAGCGGTGGGAAAGTGACTGAAGCCGAGACGCTAGATAAGGACCACTAATATTGCTGATCCTTCTTTGGATTTTATCAAGGATTTCTAGATATAAAGCAGAGACAACGGACCATATATGGCAGCAGTATTCTAAACATGGACGAAAGGTGAAGAAAAAATTAATTTTTGACTAGGATTCACATTCATCTTCATTTTTATTAGATGAAGCATTGTCAGCCATTACTATTAATTTTTGACTAGTATTTACTTTCATCTTTATTTTTTTTATTAAATGAAGCATTGTCAGCCATTATTATTAACTTTTGATTAGATATAATTTCTGGACAGTGGTACTTCATAACAGACAAACTCAAAATACAGCTACTCCTACAGTAGATATTTATGGGTGAGTGGTTTTTCATATTTCTCATTCACTCTTTGCCATGTCAACTATTATGAAATGTACGATATTTACATTATTCGGACTATTGACCTCATCTTTGTCGCATATGGTAGCATAAAATGGAAAAAAAAAATTCAAATTCTGGTCAAGTCTTTACTGTTCATTTTTACACAAATACCTTTGGGAAAAGCAGGAATTAATTTCTTCTCCTTCAAGTTATGCATTAAATAGTAGGGTAGACTTGATTCTCTAACATTGGGTGGTAATCTAGGAGAAAGACCAATTTGAATTCAAAATTCAGACAGCAATGGGAAGACACTGTGCTATTTTTCCCAAGATTGATTCATTTGTTTTTTGATTGTTTATCAACCTTTTGCAGCTTTTAGAAATAATGATTTTACTGATCTAAGTCCTACTAATTAACAGAACTTTGTACCAAACTGTTAATCGTTGATTAATGAAGTTGTCATTTTCATTGGTGATTTGACATTTTAAGTTGACTTTGAGAATTATCACATGTGTCCTGATTGCTTACATCCTAAAGGGACATAGCATTAAGAAAAATTATGTTAAATAATATCAGCTTTGACTAATTATATCAAGTGGGAAAATAATATCAAAATGGTTTTCATTATTTCCCATCAGTAAATAACAATATCCTTTATAAGATCTTTCACATAAAAACAAAACCAAATGGTTGTAGGCTAATGACTCCAATCTCTTAAAAATACCAAACTATCAAGCACCTTGTTAAGAGAGGGGCAATTGGCATAACAAAGAAATTAGTGATCTTAGTAAAGATCAGCTTTGGTTAAAGATCAAAAGCAGAGATTCTGTAACAAAATTGTATGCTGAATAAAAAAAACAAGTGCTCAACATGTCTGAAATCAAAACATAAAAACAAGGAGAGTTCCTCACAGCTAAGATATTTGCATATTCTCATTAGCACTAGTGAACATAATTCAATCCATGTAGCATATATACTTGTGTAACATTCGATCTCACGTATCGTGTGACTCCCAAATTTCCAGGATCTGTCTATATTTCTGAGATGAGGTATTATTTACACTATTCACATTATTCAGACCATTGTCCTCATCTTTGTCGCCATATTTATTATAACCTTTCGGCCGTTGTACACTCCGGCCTTCTTCAGGTGGTTGGAATGTCGAACTGAACCCTTTATTTTGCTCACTACAGTAGACTGTTCTAGTTCCACGTGCCATGTTTAATGGATGTCAGTTATCAGTTATCTTTTGTTAATTCCCCTCTCCAAGTCCTCCACTGCCTTAACCGGGTATTGAACTCACACTCTTTGGGTCCTGTCACCGGATCTAATTAACTCCTTTATCCACTCCTTTAAGAAATTTAAAAGGGAGAATGGCGGCACCCTTAAATTAAGGCTTCAAGAACACCAGAAAGCTGTAACACGAGGGGAAGTGGAAAAATCAGGCGTGGCTGACCACATATGAATGAAAAGGGAGATCACCGCCCTCTGTGGGATCAGGTTGAGATCATAGACAAAGAACACCATTGGAAAATTTGTAAACTTAAGAAATCAGCACACATGCTAAGCCACAAAAATCTTCTGAGCCAACCAAGCATAGAAATGAATACAATATGGGAACAAGTAATAAGGAGTGCCAGAGAAAAGTGATAATAACAGCAAAACTTGCAATATGAGCTCTGGTAAAATATGGTTGCTGAAGTCATTAGGTTTATAATACCCAGAAATCCATACACAGATGTCCTCAAGGACACATGGCACAGTGGATAAAGGTGTCAGTTAGATCCAGTGACGGGACCCAAAGAGTGTGAGTTCAATACCAAGTTAAGGCAATGGGAGAAGGGAAAAATACTAGTCATCCATTAAACACGTGGAACTAGAACAGTCTACCCTAGTGAGCGAAATAAAGGGTTCAACCAACTGAAGAGGGCTGGAGTGTACAACGGCCGAAATGTTGTAATAAATATGGCGACAAAGATGAGGATAATAGTCCAAATAATGTAAATAGTGTCCCAAATTTTCACTTATAAAAAATGATTTTATCCTGTTTCTTTCAAATCATATAAGTTCCTTTTTTGAGAGAGTCTATCTTTTTATCATTTCTTGTAGTTAAATAACTTAAACAAGTAAAAGAGAATGATAACTGTATCATTAGTAATGCTATACTCGTTATGTAAACGCGTGCAGCCATAAACAACTGAACGAGAAACAGCTAAACATCTCATAAACATAAACAATGGAAAAGATGCATATTCGCTATGTTTGTATTTTATAATACGATACCAATATGTGAATATACATGCATTATTATTGGATACAGTTAAGTAAAACATCAGTTTATCAAAATCATGTTTATTTTAAATACAGCTGTAACTTTTGACTACAGTAAATAGATATATAGTTTGGTCAATGGCATAGCCAGGGCCAGCAGTACATACACTAATTTTAAATCACATGCATGATATGATCCCCGCCACTTAAAATTAGCTTCAAAATTTGGTCTTCAAAAGTTGTATGATACATAAGTATATCCAATAAATAAGAGAAAAGACAAAATGTTAAATTTTCATTACTTATATTCAGTCCTCATTTTTGTTGATATTTTCACAATGTTTCGGTCATTGTGCATTGTGGCTTTCATCAGGCTGCTTGTCAATCTGGGTAACCTTCAGGGAATTGCAAATGAAACCCATTTTTTAATCTACGAGTCTAGATTGTTCTCATTCCACTGTTCATGTTGAGGGATTTGTTCTTATTTAGTTATTGCTTACCATGTTTCCAGAGAATCTAAGCCTGCTCTACCTTGCCCAGGGATTGAACTCACATTGACAATATCACCAAATTCACAAATCAATGCTTTAATCCACTAAGCTATTATAATGTAAACAATCTCATCTCAGAAAGTCAGACAGAATTTGGATGTTAAATGATGATTTTTAAGGTGGGCAATTTTATGCACTACAATCTTCCCTACTCGCCAGCCACTTGACCTTATGCCAAATTAAACAAAGCTTTTTAAAGTATCTATAAAGGCAAAAGTCATCTGTTTTCGCATTGCACCTATTGCACACTCTTACAAATTTTCAGTTGTCAAGAAAATCTTAAAATAAATATCCATTTCAATCACATTTTATTACAAAAAGAAACTGTTTCACTGATGTATATTTCATACACATTATGTTTTC